CCGCGTCCAGCAGATGGAGGCAAAGCTGGAAAAGCTGGAAAAGAAGGTCGGAGAGAGGAATGACCGGGACAAACCCCTGGCAGGCTCCCCGTTCACCGCAAGGGTCCATCTGACACCTTTCCCGCGAAAGGTCAAGATCGACGCCCCCAGATTCACCGGGAAGGAAGATCCGGAAATCCATCTGGACTCCTTCAACCAGAGTGCGACCATGAACGGTTGCACTGATGCAGAAAAGTGCCTTCTTTTCTTCCAGACCTTGCGGAACCGAGCCACTGAATGGTTCAATAAGCTTCACCCAGGAAGCATTGACTCGTTCAGTGATTTGGCCTCGAAGTTCAAGGCCAAGTTCCAGGAGAATTGTATTAAGAGGAAGAAGTTTACCTATCTTAGTACAGCCAGGCAGAGGGAGTCTGAGAACCTCACTCAGTTCCTTACCCGGTGGAAAGAAGAGGTAGACAAGGTGGAAGAGATGGATGACAAGACCGTCCTCTCCCTCCTCTTGAATGGCTTGCGTGCTGGGGAACTATACAAGGAGTTCTGCCGGAAACCCCCAGCCACATACCAAGAGGCCTACCATACTGCATGGGAGTTTGCTGAGGCTGAAACCCAACTCCAGGCAAAAAGAGAAGCTGAGCATGGTCACAAGCCCAAGCCGGTGCAAGTCAAGAAGGAAGAAGCACCGGGACCTAGCCGGCCGAGGCACCACTATGACCCGGTCATCCGAGTGGTCAATACGGAGGAATGCCAAGAAGTCCGAAAAGCACCGGTCGTTCCACCAGAAAACCCTACCGGTCAAGTAGGGCGGCAGTGATCGGGCACCTATTGTTCGTACCACAGATCTGATTCCCATAACACCTCCGAATGCAAGAGTGTTAAGGGGGTCATCCGGCAGATGATCGACAGCGGAGAGCTGGGCAAAGATTACTTGCAGAAAGCCCAGGAGAAGAGTCATCTGTGGGTTAGGCCAACTGCCCCAGGGAATGACCGGGACAATGACCGGCGGAGGAATAACCGGCCAAGGGAGCGGCAACCTGCCCCCGAAAAAGAACACATTGGCATGATCTTCGGCGGACCCGAGGGCGGAGATTCAGCCGCGCAGCGAAAGAACTGGGTCCGGAGCATTTACGTGGGAGAAGTAAGTGCTGAACCACCCAGGCGTAAGCATACTAGGAGGGAGCCTATCGTCTTTACTGACCGGGATCTCCCTCCTACCGGTGAAGATCACAATGATCCATTGGTCATCACCATGGACATTAATGGGATAGATGTCGCCCGGGTACTTGTTGACACCGGCAGCAGTGTCAACATCTTATACCTGGAGACCTTCCAAAAACTCAGGTTGTGTCGAACACAACTTGAACCCCTCAAAACCCCTCTCTCAGGCTTCACGGGGGATACCGTTGAAGCTGAAGGATCCATAGTTCTACCGGTCGAACTAGGATCAGGTGAAAAGACCGTGTG